GTCTTTCTCATCCTGGGGGTCTACAATCTTAGTGTGAACTTGCAGTGCAAACATTTTTATGATTTTGTTGCATGTGTTCATCCCAACAAGAATTGCTGTTAAGGATATTTTTTCATTGGGTCCTCTGTTTCTTATGTCCCCCAGCTTTTCTCAGTTTGATTTTTGTTAGAAGGTGATACTGAGAAAGCAATTGCTTAGTGTGGGTGGCAGGTGGTGTAAATGAATCATAGACTTAAAAACAGTTTTTCATGTCTAATCATTCCTGGTCTTGGCTTTGCCACAGAGTCTCTTAATACTGTAAACTTTGAAATAACTTACTGCAGTTTGATCATGTAGTTTTGCAACGTTCTAACTTCAGTTCCTAAGCTCTGCATGTTATCCAATTAACATTATCCCCAATCAAAGGATTGCTTTTTTATTCTAATATTTTTATTGTTTAATAGTGAATTTTTATGACATTGTAGTGCTTTGGAACTTCTTGCATTTTTCTTGCATTTTCTAAAAAACCAAAAAATTCTAATGAAAAATTAGCATTTAGGCTTTCCCTTTTCTTTTTCAAACCGCATTTTCACCAGGATTATTTAATCTGCAGCATTTAGAATTTGCCAAACAGCTATGAAAACCAAAGATTCTGTGGATTAAAACACACAGTAGAGAAATTCTTTTCTCTACTCCCTACTCCTGTTTTCTAAATATGGAAGAGATCCTGTAAACCTCTCACAGTTCATTGTCCCCATCCTGTTAAGGTTTATGTGGTTTGACAGATCAATTGCAAATATGAAAACCCAAGTACGATTTTGCAATTTATTCAAATGTTTTCAATCAAGTCATTCTAATCTTATTCCTATGTAATGGCAGGAATTCTTATATCTATTTTATTCTGAAAATATTTTTTTTTCCTCCTTTCTAAGTAATGATTACTAGGTATTTTCAAAACTAACACTTTAGGCTACTGTTGTCTGGAAATGCATCTTTTGGTTTCTCATTTTCCTTAGTGATGTTAACTTTTGGTGGTGTAATTTTGAATGAATATTCAACTTTATTATTCAGTTAATATTTAGGAGTGCTTGGAAATTCTGAAAGTGCATTTAGTTAAGCTGTGCCTATTTCTTAGCTTGCTTTTGTGACATCCTTACTCTTTTGCATTAGCAGCAGTCCTAGCACTGCCAGAACGATATGTGAAGGATGTTCATTAAATGATTTCATTCTTTAATTTTCCATTTGAATTAATTTTAAATTCTTTTCTTGGGAGACTAGCACACATTCTTATGATCATCTCATGGAAAAAGAGAGATGCCTAAATAAACTGAAAAAGGCATTTTTTTAACATGATGGTATTGTCAGTCTCAAATAGTCAGATCTAAGTGGCTGCTACCTACTCTTTGAAAGTCTTCACATGCTTTAATCGACACAAATTTAGGAAATGAATAAGCAACTATTAAAGTGATCAATAGAGTATTAGTGAAGGAACAGACAAATCAAAAATAGCATGACATGTACAGAAGATTTTGTTTGCTTGTGGGTTTTTTTTTCCTCACTGTATTCTACATAGGCTAAAAAAACCCAAAACCGTAGAGCTTGCTAAATAAAATAAAGAGGGAAAAATATGTAAGGTAGGGTTTTGTAAACATCTTTGAAGTTAACTTAGCCATCATCACAACACTCACAGCCTCCACTGATGTTCTGAAACCAGAAGATACAACCCAGGAAGTGTGGGCACCTCGCATTGTGGTAACAGCTGTTGCCTCTCCTGACGATGCCCACCATGAAGACCCAACTCGACCACCTCTGCCTTCAGATGATGAACCAGGACAGGGAACTGAAGGCAGCACGCATCCCACAGATGCCCCTGGGGATGAGGTCCTCCACAGGACCACAGCCAGTACAAGCAAAGCTGGTGATGACGCTCCTCTGACGGGTACCAGTAAGAATAATGGCTCATACTCATTTCTCATGCCTGGTGTGAAATGAGGCATTATTTCTTCTGAAATTGACTGCTTTCCCTGTCTTTCTCATCCTGGGGGTCTAAAGTCTCGGTGTGGACTTGCAGTGCAAAAATCTGTGGTGGGATCTGTGCTGTTGATAGAATTGCTTTCTGGACAAGGCATAGGGGACTCCTTGCTGGGACACTTGGCAGTTTCTGTCCTTTGCTGAAGCATGTTTTTGGGTGGCCTCCTGACTGTTCTGCCAGACACGCACACTTTGCTGATTCTGAATCGCCCAGCCCCATCTTCCCTTTATGCACATGAGCGGGATGAGGCTTGACACGCTTTGGGACCATGATGGGTGTGGTGGCGGTGCTCTGGCAGGTTAATGGGATGCCTTGCTCCTGTGACTGAGCAGCAGCCAAACCATCACTGGGGAGTGCTGTCCTGGTGGTGAGGGCAGGGCAGTCATAGAAGAATGACATCCCATAAAGTCTGCCTTCAATTCCCTACTTCACCTGACCGGTGGATTGCCGGGCAAGACTGCCACAGATCTGGCTGCAGTCATGGCTGTTCACTCCTGAGTTACAGGGTCAGGTTGTTGCTGCTGTGGTCTCTTCTTCTGAAGATCTTCCCTCTCCATCTGTCACTGGGCTCTGTACATGTAGCCGGCGTCACCCGCCAACATGGTGAGCACGTACATGGTGCTTAAGGATCTCTCAGGAGCCAGTGACAGTGGGGAAGAAGAAGGGCAGGCCTTTGTGTCTTCTCTCCTTCTGTGCTTTGAATGAGGAAGATGGACGTGCCTTCTGGCTTGCTGTGGTGCAGGGAAGCGGGAAATAATGTGGGTGGTGGTTTTGTGAGCGCACACTTTTAAAGCTGATTGCGCCGTCACCGTGGCAGTCTCTGAGGCCGTGGATGGTGTTAACCCAGAGAAAGCAACCACGGAGCCACTGGCACCTGGCACTGCACCTGGAAGGGAGAACGAGGAAGCCAACACCACGGACGGCTCCTATGTCAATGGGATACCTGGAGTTTTGTCAGACATTGAAGATCGATTTAACCAGTTACGGACTCCTCTTCCTACTAGTAAGAACTATGAATTATGAACATTTTCATTTATCCATCAGTCAGTTTATATTTTGGGCAGTGGTTGTTGTCCAAAAACATATGTACTAATCATAATTGTAAATTATTGTCATATTATGATTCCCTTTTTGGTTTTTATTATTGTTTATACCCTGCTTATAAAATGCCGTTAAAGGGAATCTCTTTAACGTGCAAAGGATTGGACATTTGCTAAAAGGCTGAAAATAGTGTTTTGCAAATAACCTTTTCTTATGTTCCGTTACCTGTATGTGTAACACAACTATTGTTACTGCTATATGTATAACACAACTATTACAGTGAAGAAGCGTAAACTTTCTCGTTGTGCCCATACATACGTGCTAGAATTTTGTCTTTCTTTTTTGCTGGGCACAAGTGATAGCTCTGTAACACTTAGGTGTCTGTCACTTTTTCCCCAATCAGTGTTCCCTCTACATTAGTTGAATATGTGTCAAAAGAAAGGTAATTCTCTGTCAATTTTTTTTTTTTCCGAGGTGTATTTGCTGTTCGTATCTCGCCAGTGATTAATTATAACTATGTTACTGGGCTGTAACTGACATTTCATTTGTGAACAACTACTTTTTTTTTTTAATGGATTATTCTGATAGAGTTAGTGCAGTTAACAGTAACAGTGTTTACTTACTACGCTACATACAACCTTTCTTTTTTTGTGTGTATGGTCACATGCTAATAGTACGGGAAATGAAGGGACTTTTCCTTATTCCCAAATGCAGTGTCCATACAAATAATTATCCTAACAGTAAGTTTTTTCCAAATGCTGCTTCTCATGCACACTTAATCCAAATACTATTTTCATGCACTTTCTTGGAAGTTAGTGGACAATCCCAGGGTAGATTTTGGCCAGTGCTCTGTGGACATTCATTGCACATAAGCGAGATTATGTACCTATATTTTAATAGCATTATACAGTAAACACTTTAAAGATGATTCTGTTATTAATTAATTAGTTAATGTTAATTCATACATTCTCAGGTAGAATTTGGCCTACTGGGTTTGTTTCAGAATTTTATATAAATGCAGTAAAATCAACCCTATCAAAATGACTTGATTGATAGAATTTTGACATAGGCACAGCAATATACATGCAAAACATGTATTTGATAGAATTTTATTGGAAAGATAAATCTATATTTAATAATGGTTTCTTATTACAACAAACTCAATTCTTGACTTTCGCTGCCCTATTCATTAATTAATCCAAGCTGCCTCCTTAATTTTATGTGCAGACATTACACACTATGAAAAAATGTTTGCTACATTTCTGTTTTGAGCACATAAAACCTGTAAGAACTGGTTTGAAGATCATCTTCAAGGTGAATGTCTGCGTCAAATCTTTGTGTTGTCAGTGCCCTGGCAAAGGCTCGTAAGGTCGTATTCCCAAAACTCTTCCTTTTTTCCTTTATCTTCTCTTGGTGCTTTTTAAAAACACAATACAAGGGAATTGCTAGGACACTACCATCACCATAAAAAAGTTTATTTATTGAAGGATTCATTCATTTGTAATGTTGTCCCATAGAACTGTAATGGAATGGAAAAGATTCATGAATGTATTGGCAGACTATAGTTAAAGGCTTTCTGCAAGCAAACAAATGGCTTGATGTGCTACCCTGCTTTATTTCACTTGCTTTTTCTCTACAGCAATGTTCAAGCTGTGGTCTGCCATCACACTAATGACTGAGCTGTTGTCCACGTGTCCGTGGAGTAACAAATCAGTCCACTGAAGGAATCTAAAAAATAACTATCAGAACAAAAAAAAATCCAGTATGTTATTAAAATGAAACGCAGAGAGCTTTTGAGGATCCTGCCCTGCCACTCGCAAGTACCCCCCCAGGGCCAGAACATCTGGGGAGGGGACTGCATCCTGCTGCTGCTTCTCCAGGCAGGGGAAGGGCAAATGCAGCGGTTCTCTAAAAGCAAGAATTTTAGTAAATGTCTGAGTGACTTTCTAAGGGGATTTGTGGTGGAAAAGCTCTGGCATTTTTCAAGGATGATATAAAGCACCTTAAAAAAAAATCCGCTGAGATGTGGGGTGGGCAAGTAAGTATGTTCCTCTGGGTCCGCTTTCTTGGAGGCTAGATCAGGACCCTTAGCTGCTGAATTAGTGCTCTGTCCTTTGTGGTGAGATAGCACAAAAGAGCTCACCAGTCAATAAGTTTCTTGTTAATAAAAATAATGAAAACATCTGGAAGATTCGTGAGCTACTTGCTGGCTAAGCTTAACAGAGGGAAAAAAATGTGCTTCTCAGTTTTGTATTTGCCAGCTGCTGTTAGGAAATGAGATCAGAAATGTTGGCTACAAATGAGTTGCAATGTGTGTTAAAGAAAAAAAAAGAAACCCACAACTTTACAGCTGATTAGAGTAAGTGCTTAATTTGCTCTGTTAGAGTCTGGAAGAATTCAGAGAGGTGGAGATCTGTAATATCTTTTTTTTAGTGATAATGAAGTAGTGATCCCAAATGAAATCACTGTATCTATAGTCTGCTGATAATTTTAGATTTGGGATACCCATATGGCCACAGCGTGGACCAGAAATGTAATTGCATAAAAGTTCAAGTGGTATGGCCAGCATAGCAAATACTTGATACTGGAAGTATGCATTTTGTTTTAAGATCTAATATTGTCTTGGAACCAAATTACACAACTTATTAAAAAGGACAAGGGGATCTACCTGTAAGTTTACAGAGATCATTTTTTCTATTAGGAAAATATTTTGAATTTTTAAAGTCCCACTCTATGCGTAGCTGTCAGATTTTAAACCATTCAGAGAACTATCTTATTTTATGAAAGCATTAGACTTTGAGAAATTCAGTTGTATCCTTTGTAGGCATAAAATAAAAAGTTTCAAAATTTCTACATATTGGTCATTTTAGGTTTAAATAAAAAGTAAAGTTTCCCCCCACCCCTTCTTTTCACACTCTCTTTTCCCCATGGAATAGGCAAGATGCTTTACTTCTATGACAAAAACCTCTTCAAAAAGTTGCCAACATTCACGTCTTTTTACATTTTCTCCAGAAAAATTCTAGGCAATTATAATTGCATTTTGGTTCACGAAAGTATAGCATAATCAAAACCAATACATATGAGAGAGACAAGAGGGGAAACCCATGAGTTTTGTTATTCAAAATACTAAAACTAGCCATAGTTCAAATCAATATGATTATTACAGTCTATGTAATCATTTTCCGTATAAATACATTTTAATGACCTCAGCATGCACTTCCTAGAATATGGTTTTTTAATTGTGAAAGTCATAGTCTTTGCACCTTGCTGTTAAATATTCACTAAGCATATTTGGCCTAACGGATAGTTTTGTTCTTTAGGATCCACCTCTGGTATATATGGTAATCAAGGACCACACAAGGGACATTATGAATCCACTACTTTCCCTGGAGAGACCACAACAACAACAATAGTTTCACAACAAAGGTCGTCCCGGGTACCAGGTAGGTTTTTGGTCATATGTTTTAACAATTTAAGCACAGTATTGTATTAATATGAACTGAAGTAAGTGATGAAAATGCAGTTCAAGTACAGTTGTTCAGTCTTTGTTCTGAGTCAGATAATATTCAGCATTTTCACTAGTAGTATGAAAAATGGAGCATATTGTAACTGATATAATTTTCCAGCAATATCAAGATGAGAGTAATCATACATTTGAAGAATGAGATCAAGATCCAAATAACCATTATAAATTGATACAACATCAGGCAAAATTCAGTAAAAATATATGCTAAGTATCATATCCATGAGCGTGTTCGGTGAAAATAATAGCTGAGACAAGTATTGCAGAATAGGGCTTGCAGATTAAAATGGAATAGAAAGAAGCCAACACCATGGTACAATTGCAAAAGAATGCAAATATATTCTGGGACATATTAACAGTAAAGTCATTTTTAAAACAGAGAAAGTAATTATCCCACTCTACTTAGGCCTAGCAAGTCCAGAGCTGAAGCTCTGTGTTCAGTTCAAGGCATTGCATTAATTACCAAGAAAAAAATGGAGAAGAGCACAAAGAAAGGTAACCTTGAAGCACCTTTTGAAGAGCTCATAGTTTTCAGAGAAAGCTGAAGGGAGATACAAGAAGAGTATGCTACAAAAAGAATGCTTATCAGTTTTTCACCATGGAGTAATAATAATTAACTAATTAGAAGAAGTAATTTGTTTCAAATGAAAAGTAGGAGACCTGTTGAACAAGGGAGACTTGTTTCAAACACACACAATAAAGGAGTTAACTCTTAGGAGAGGATCTCTGTCTTATAATGGTAGTACAGCATAAAGAATAGGCTACTGGGAAGGTTGTGAAGTCTCCTTTATTAAAAATGTTAAGAGCAAATGGAATGTTCCTCAGCCATCTTCTTATTGACCCTGTTTCGCTGAAGGGAAATGTGGCTGACATGACCTCTTAGGGTCTCTTTCAGTTTTGTAGTTCCGTTTTTTTTTTTTTTTTATTTAGAGTTTGCCCCCAAAATACCTCCTAAAGTAAAATTTTAAATGAAAAAATGAACATTTCACCCAACCTGAAAGTCATCTGGCTTTTGTGCCTGGGCTTGCAGGTGTATCATGGCTAAGCCTTTTCTTTTGCTCTTGGATTAAATCAGTGATATAAAACTCCTCTTCACCTATGCCCACCAAAGTGCAGTGCTTACAGGTGCTAGCAGTGATGGGGCGTTTCATCTGAGTTGGCCTGCGTATAGCTGAATGATGAAAATGTATTCAATTGGCACAGAAGCACTTTGTAAAACAAACAAACATTCACGCAAGCTAGGAAAAAAGCCTGACAGTTTAGAGAATGTAAAAGAGCTGGTGTTCTTGCAGTTCTGTGAAACAGCAAAGCTACCCAAGATATGTTAACATGCTCTCTCCCCTCCCTCCACTCTCCCAACAGATTGGTTGATCATAGTTGCCACTCTTGTGGCACTTGCCTTGGTTCTTGCAGTGTGCATTGCTGTTAACAGTCGGAGAAGGTAAGGTAGTCCCTTTACTTTTTCAAAACACACTGCCTTGCTATTTTCTTCATCGTAAAGGCTTCAAAGCTTCTTGAAAGAGCAGAGTAGCCCAACACAGGAAAGAGCTTCCTCTGCGAAGCTCCGCGACTTGGGGTGCGAGGGCCCAGGTCACCGTGTCCTGCGCGGGTCACACGTCAGCCTTCACACTCATGTGGAACCACGTGAAGTCGGTAGCTGTACAAACCGTTTGGTCTTTACTTGTAGATAGAAACTAACTGTATATAGATCACAGAGAACTAATTATTCTCTGCCTATGACTTATTAGTAGGAAAATCCTGTCCACTGAGAGTGAAAACTATGTGAGATGGACAGAGACAGTAGCAACGACAGGATGAGCCAAGTAGAATCCTCCACCATTAGCAGTGTTGTCTGTGTACAGTGTGAAGGGCTGTGTTAGACAATCACTGTCACAGGATTAATTTGTTCCTTCCAAACAAAAGGCAGTATCACAGCTGGCAGTCACAGCAATATATTCTAACATTGCTATCAGAGCAGTCCATAGCTTTATTTACTCCACTTTACAGACGAGGAAGCTGAGGAATAGAAAGTTGCAGTGATCTGTGCAAAGTTAGCCAGGAAATTTGAAAAAACTCTAGCCTAAAGGATAGGCAATAATGTTCTTAACTCTTTCTTTTCTCTGGGGGCTGTTCTGAGGTTACTTCTCAATTATCTTAAACAGCTTTTTGCTACTTGAATGTTAAAGTTGAACCTTTTAACAGAATAACTATTTTCTACTTGAATTTGAACTTTTTTTGTCTGAGTAACCATATAATCTGTGTATATTTTTGTTCAAGAAGCAGTGAGCAAATTTATTCCTAGTCTGCTGGTTGCAGGAAAGCACATGTTAATGCTTCCGTGAAATAGTGTCGAGGTCCTCCAAAGCATGGCGTGGGTGCCAGAACAAAGCACTGAGCAACCCAGGCTGTCCCTGCCCATAATGCAGAAGGCTTCTGTGAGACAAAAGAGTGCAAACGGAATGCCAGATTGTCGGGCAGAGTAAACTGAAACAATTTTGCTGAAGTCGGTAGTTAGATGCCACGTGGTATGTTTGCCCTATGACTGTATCCACAAGATCAGTGCTTCTCTGATAGTATTGTTAGAGACGTGTTGAAAAAAAAGAAAGCTATCAAGCATATGGTGAGACAGAAAACTCTACAACTTTCTTTCTGTGAAGTCATTCTGGAGTTACATAGCCTGAATGGTATGGCTTATTGATTTATACGTTACTCTCTTGTGCCTTTATAAGTAGAGACTGCCATTGTTTCCTCCCTCTTAACCCAGAGTCACCATAGGAACAGACAAACAGGGCCACTATGGCCAATTATAGAGTGCATCTGACAAGAAATGAAACAATCTCAGAGCTGTAAATTATGCCCTGGATACTGTTAATGGAAAACATATCTTTGACTTGGAGCTTCCCTGCAGCTGGGAGTGAGTCACAAAGAGAGAAAGCGCGTGTGGATGCATGAATGTGTGCGAATGCATGGGTTAGACCCTAGTAACAAGTGTCAATCACTGCGAGGAAGGCTTTTTGAAGCAGGGACGTACTCTGGTATGCTTGAAACAAGTGGCATTTTTTTCTTTCACTTTAGCAGGATCCAAATGATAACATGAATAAGTCAAAAATCCTTTCTTCAGCTATTCTGATAAGTGCTAATACACTGAAAATTCATAGCACGGTAGTTGCTGTGCTGTCAGCGTACTGCACGTGAATGCCAACTAATCCAAAACTAATGCTGCAGCAGTGCTGGGAGAAAACTGGAGCGCTGAGAAAGGAGGACTGAGCATTTCTGTGTTAGCTGAGCAGGAAGTGAGAACATTTCAAGCGTTAATTTATTTAAAAAGTGACAATCTGTGTTTTTACTTGTGTAATGCTGTCAGTTATGCCATTTTTTAAATGAATGCTAGCTGCAGCATCTCCATTTTCAATCTCATTCGGGTTGTCTGAAAAAGCCTAATGAAGTGTACGCCTTAGTTTCAAGGTAAACTTCCTGATTCAGAAATCAATGGATTGGATTTAGCCTTTCTAGGTGGGAGGTTGGCAAATCAGCATGGCAGAAATTTCAAGCGTTTCAAACAAGCAATTGGGCCTTCTCAGTAAACAGCAAATTGCTTGGCTACAGTATTTCCTTTTTTTTTTTAAAAAAAAAAAAAATAGTATTGGTGTTGTCCTAAGTTATCTTAACCAAAAACCAAAACAGCCAAGGATCAGCGTGGTCCTAATTAGTTATTTAGTCTTCTTGTTGCCTCTGTTTGGTGTCTGTTGTAAAAAGTGTTAGGGTCCAACAGCAGATGCTGCCCAGCCTGACCATCCCATCAGGAACGACACCCTGAACTGCTCTTCCAAGAGGCTGTGGAGCTCCAC